TCAAGGGGATAATAACTACAATTATTTCATGTTTTAATTTAATTATTTCTAACAAAATTTAAGATAGCCATTTTGTAGAATTTATTTTTCTGAAAATATTGACATTTCAAAATTTTATTTTCATTATTTAACTTATTTTTAATATTTTTTTTAGTTTTGAAGAAATAAAATGTGATTATAACTAGACACACTGAAAACGTTCGGCTGGCCGTACGAGTATGTGCACGGCACAGAGGGTAACATGTTTGATAACACTACGGTGTTAAATAATTCACAATTTTTTCGAAACTAAAAAAAAAAATATATAAATAAGGAAATTAATGAAAATACAATTTTGAAACATAAATATTTTCACAAAACTAAACTCTACAAAATGGCTATCTTARWTTTTTTTTWAAATAATGAAATAAAAAAATATGTTCTTAACTTTTTACCAAAATATTAAAATAAATTAAAATATGAAATAATTGTAGTTCTTATCCCCCTGAGTCTTATTGAAAAACCAGAATTTTGATATTTCAATTATTTCAGAAGATATTGCAATGGATAAATCCTTGCGGACACCCTGTATATATTCTAGTATAAAAAATTATGTGATAAATTATTATGTTGCATAAGTGAATGTAGTATCAACTATTATGCGAATGATTAGAGATTAATTAGACTTTTACTTTTACAAAGCATAATTGTGTATGATGATTAATATTTTAGCACTACCAAAAAGATGCCGATGGATTATGTACACAATTAACCAAGAGTTTACCTAAAAAAGGCAAACAAGAATTTTGTATTGATACAAAATCTTTTATTGATGCCGGATGGGTTATACAGGAACAGGAGTTACAGGTTCTATTAAGCAAAATCTATTTAATTAATTACTTATTATATTAAACTTGTTTTTATTCTCTAGTTAAATGAAACAATTGGTAAAGGAGAATTTGGTGATGTATTATTGGGAGTGTACAGAGGAGAAAAAGTAGCTGTTAAAATGTTAAAAGACTCTAGCGTAGAAGCTCAAAAATTCCTAACAGAAGCTTTACTTATGACGTAATTTATTAAATATATTTTATATTGTGTAGTTAATTTAGTAAAAGAACAAAAAATACATTGAAATTTATGTTTTGTATCAGGTCTTTGAGGCATGAAAATTTGGTTGAACTTCTTGGACTCGTATTAAATGAAAAACATCTATTGCTAGTTACTGAATACATGGGTAAAGGTAGTCTCGTTGAATATTTACGATCAAGGGGAAGACTCCATGTCACCAAAAAAGATCAAATTAATTTTGCCGTGTAAGTTCTATACATTTTTAAATAACGTATTTTTTTGTTATTTAGTTATTAATTTTATGATAAAAAATAAAAAATTTAGTGATACGTGTAGCGGTATGGAATATTTAGAGTTTAGAAAAGTAGTGCATAGAGATTTAGCTGCTCGAAATGTTTTAATATCAGAAGCCGGAGTAGCTAAAGTAGCTGATTTTGGATTGGCACGTGAAGAAAATTATATTGTGGATGCTGGAAAATTGCCCATCAAGTGGACTGCCCCTGAAGCACTTAGACAAGGGGTAATTTGAAATAGGAAATATTTATAATGATTAAGATTTATATTATTATTAAATATTAAATGGATTTTTAAAAATTGCTTCAGGTGTTCTCAAATAAATCAGATATGTGGAGTTTTGGAGTTCTACTATGGGAAATTTATTCTTTCGGCCGAGTTCCTTATTCTAGAATAGTAAGTTTTACAATATTTTATCTGGTTTATTTATCAAACAATATTAATAATCAAAATGTTTATGTTTACCAGCCTTTAATTGACGTAGTAAAGCATGTAGAAAAAGGTTATCGTATGGAAGCTCCTGAGTGTTGTCCTCCAGAAATATATGAAATTATGAGACAAGTAAACATAGATTTATATTGCTATAAATACTAAAATATTTTGTTATTTATTGTTTTTAATTTAATAGGCATGGGACTTATTGCCTGATCGAAGACCAACATTTAAGGATGTTAAGACCAAATTAGCACAGTTAAAAGTTGTAACTATTAATTAGGAGTGACACTGACTAATTTCTAATGTATAACAATATATCTGTGCACTAACTTTGTGTATATCTGTAAAGTATAAAATTTAATTAATGTTTATGAGCTAGTCTTTATTTTATCAACC